GGGCACTGTGCTAAAGGTGCTGGGGATATGAAGATAAGAAAACAATAAAGTCTCTATTCTGAAAGAGCTTACATTTTAATAGGGGAAAACAAAACATAAAAGGAGCTGGAAGGTGGATTTAGGGAAAGAAGATACTCTTATGGAAGCCAGTGTGGAGGTTAAAACAGACTTATCTGGTGGTGGCAGAGAGAAGAAGATGAGTCAGAAAGTGGAGAGTGAACAGTGTGATGGGGCCTGTTCTCCAAGTAATGCAGTTCTAGGCAGGGACTCACCAATAATTGAGTTGGCCTTCAGGTAGAATTGTCCTCAGAAGGCCATGCTGCTGGTGTGGAGGAGGAGCAGAACAGTATGGTGCTATAGGTGGGGGGAAAGCTTCCTAACACTTAGAGTTGTCTAAAAGTGGAATAGACTGTTTTGAGAGGGATGGTGTCCCTTCCTTGGAGGTTTTCAAGCAGATAATCACTTGCCAGGTGTGTTATGGTGGGGATTCCTTTTAGCCATGATTTGGACTAGATGAACACTGGAGGCTCTTCCAACTCTCAGATTCTATGATACCTGCTAAAAGAGTGTTGGCACTATTTAAATTGGGGGGGTCCTGGACAGTGCCCCAGTTCTTGACCCTAGCTGTAGCTTTACTCAAGCTTATGTCTAACAGCTAGATGCTCTTCAGCCTCCTCACCTCTAACCACCAATTAACCTTATCAGAGATTTATATCGATGGAAGATAGCTCATACACTGAGAGCTATCCTTCAAGTCTTGCCTGAGGAAACCGGCCATAGTCAACAATTCACTTCTCTGCAGATTAGATGTTCTCATCTGCCCAGAAAAAGACTTTTATCCTTAGGGAGTCATAGCAATGATGATGTATGGAGAGCTCAGAACTGAAAGATATATATCTGGAGTTGGAGGGTGGTGGAGAAGAAACGTAAGCAAATTAAATTTTAATTAAAAGTCTTCCTTGCCACTTAATTTCTTTCAGGTCCCAGAAGCCAATGTTAAAATGCTTGGGAGTGTAATGGATGTCTATTTAGTCTCTAAGTATGTGTAATTCAATGTCATTAATAGACTGTTGGGTTTGCACATGGTCTAACACAAATGGAAGGAAAGTGCCCAACATATTTGATGAACTTTATGGAAGGACAGGGATGAGTCTTATAGGATGGACAGACATGGATGGCTTTGGGCCTACATTGTTGCCCAGATATCCTCACAGTGAGATTACAGATCCACTAGAGTTTTAAAGACTATAATATGGTCATTGAATAGGTGTTTTGGTGACCACTTTTAACTTAACTATCTTCGAGTAAATATACAATAAAGTATTCCTAACAGTAAAGCAATACTGAATATTATTTAATTTTTCTTTGATGATTACAGTGTTTACAGTGCTGTAGTCATCAAGAATATTGGTTCTCATTGTTCTTAAAAGCAAGAAAGTACCAGTAGAGATTTCTGCTAGATAGAATTTTACATAAACCAACCCTTACTGTACAGAGTCCTGTTTAGGAAAACAGACTTCAGTTAATGTTACTTCAATCACCAGTTGGTTGTATGAATTCAAACAAACTACCTCTATATAGGAGATACAGATGCCTCACTTTTCTCTAGTGCTTAACACATAGTAGGAACTATATACAATAAATTCTTGTTTTCGTTTTTGGCTTAAAAATAGGGATGAATACTCAGAGTCTGAGGGTGTGGTAAGTGTTAAGATTTATTATAAGGATTAGATATGCTATAAGGATAAGATAGATGTTATAAGGATAAGATAGATATTAATGTAACATATCTTATCAGATATGTTAAACATATCCTATAAAGGATAAGATAAAACTGAAAATAAAAGTCAAGGACAACAAAAGGTGCTTTTTTTTTTTTTGGTAAGGCAATTGGGGTTGCGCGACTTGCCCATAGTGAGACAGCTAGTAGTCTGTCTGAGGTCACATTTGAACTCAAGTCCTCCTGATTCCAGGGCCAGTGCTCTATCCACTGTACCCCCTAGCTGCCCCAAAAAGGTGCTTTAAAAAGCTATAATATACTAGCTGTGTGACCCTGAGCAAGTCACTTAACTTTGATCCCCCCCCCCAAAAAAAAAGCTGTAATAGGAGAAAAAAGGATCAAAGAAAGTTTAGAACCTTTGCTCCCAGGTAAATGGAATGATAACTGACAACCAAGAGAAGGCAGAGCTACTCAATTCTATTTTGTTTCTGTTTTCTTTGCAAAGGATAACATGTTTAACATTTTGATCAATGACTGATAAAGTCATCACATTTGAAGATGAGAAAGATGACCTTTGTATTAGAAATAACAAAACAAAGATGACTTTCAGGGACTTGATAAAGATTAGTAAGAATGGTAAAGATAAGTAGGAGGACAATTAATTGCCCTTGATGAATTCAAGTCATCTGGCCCAGATGCACTACATCCTTGGACACAGAAAGAACTGGCAGGTATGATTACTGAACTACTTTCAGTAATATTTGAAAAGGCAAGAAAAACTGGAGAGGTACCACAAAGAATGGAGAAAGAGAAGGAACAGAGTCTATGAACTAATTCAGTGAGCTTGACTTTGATTCTTGGGAAAATTATTGAAGGAATGAATAAAGAAATGGTTGTAAAACATCTAGATAGGAAAGCAATAGTTATGTAGATTATGTGGCTTCATTAAGAACAGGTCAGGCTAGAAATCCTCATTTCCAGGATTTCTAAACTAGTAGATGAGGATGTGGGTATAGTTTGTTAGATTTTAGCAAATCTTTTGATAAAGTATCTCTATGTACAGTGGATAGAGCATCAGAGCTGGAGCCAGGAAGACATGTGTTCAAATCCAACCTCAGACACTTATTAGCTATGTGATCCTATGCAAGTCACTTAATTTCTGCCTCAGTTTCCTCAACTGAGGAGAAAATAGGGATAATAATAGCAACTACCTTGTAGGGTTGTTATAAGCTTTAAATGAGATAATAATAATTAGTGTAGTACTGGCACATACTAAGTGCTATATAAATATTAGTAGTAGTAGTGTACTATTTTGTGGAGAAAATATGTATAGAGATGGATTAGATGCTCATGCAATAATATGGATTCAGACCTAGTTGGATGGGCTGGACACAAAGAGCAATTGTTAATGGTTCAATGTCGCCATGGCCAGGAGTCTCCAATGGAGCATCCCAGGCACTGGTACTTAGGCCCTGTGCTGTTTAACATTTTAATCAACAACTTAGATAAAGGCACAGGTGACATGTTTATCAAATTAGTAGATGACTCTAAGCTGTGAAAGATAGCTGGATGAGAGGTATCAAACACTCTCTAGCCCACAGCACTCACTAGTATGGCAAACCAGAATAAAAGATAATTGGGAAATATTTAACAAGAAATACAAATATAATAAACATAATAATATTACACATTTTAAAACTAAGTCCATATGTGCCCTCAGGGATCCTTACGTATAGATTAGTGGACTCTATTTCTGTCTGAGTTTTACACTTCCAAGCTGGATCATCCAGTCAAGGTCCAAAAGCATTTTAACAGTCTAGAGCATTGGGCTGAATTTAATAAGGTGATGTCTAGTTGAGGTAAATGGAAAAAAAAAACACAACATAATAAGTATAAGATGTAGGAAGCATGGATAATCTGCAGTTTTGCCAAAGATTTGAAGCTCAGTGTGAGTCAACTGGGGCATATAGAAGTTAAAAAAAAAAACCAAAAAAGAGCCAATTTTGAATTCCATTGTGGGCTTCATTAAGAAGAGAATAGTTTCCAAGAATAGGCATCATTTGTCCTATTGTACTCTGAGCTCATCAGACCTTATCTGTATTGTGTTCAGTTCTGGCCACCATAGTTTATGAAAGACATTGATAAGATGAAGAGTGTTTGAGGAAGGCAACCAAGATGGTTGTCAAGTGGAAGCTAGATGATCACTTGTTGGGTGGCTTTGACTAAAGAGATACTAAGGTTCCTTCCAACTCTCAAATTCTGTCACCTATGCATGATCAAATGTTCTCCATATGCATTGAAGACAGAGGCAATATGATGTAGGAAGGAGCAATGGATTTGTAAAAATAGAACCATAGGATTGTAGCCCTGAAAGGGAATTTAAGAGATTATAGTCCAACTATTTCATTTTACAGATGAAGGAACTGAGACACAGAAAGGTGAAGTGACTTATTCACGATCAAGATAGTACAGGATTTTAGGATTCAGTAGACCTGGGGTACAGTACCATTTACTACCTGTGGGGCAAATTATTTCTTTTGAGTTTTTGCTTTCTTTTTTTCCCCCATCGTCAATATATATTTAGTATTTACAGTGTACTAGGCACAATAGAACATACAGAAAAACATTGTCCCTGCCCTTGAGAAGCTTACATTCTATAACAAAAAATACACCTCTCTCTTTAAATGGTATTTCGTGTTTGGTGTTTTCTACAAGGTTAGTGAGGGGAAGATTTTGCAGCGTGAACTTTGGGTATAACTTAGCCTCACCATCACTTGGTGAGAGGCTTGGGTTAGGGGAAGAGTTTAAGGCAGACAATAACGGACCATTCAGCATAGGGTTTAGAGTGAAATTTTTTAAAAAGCCACCATCTCACTAAATTAAGGGAAGATGTCCTATAGGCAATAGGAATAGAGGCAAGAAGTTTGTGGGATGCAAGCAAAGGAAGAAAGGAATCTCAGAAACTGAAGCCAGAAATGTCTTGCTATCTTTCCCCACACAACACCCTCCCCTCCTCCACCACCAGAATAGGAGTATGGTTGGTGACAAGGCAGAAGGAGAAAAGGCTAAAAGGTATACCTGACAAGTTGGAATATGGGATTAAAATCCAAGTCAGGCTATAAGAATAACAACAAATTCCTTTAAAGAGGGACTTTGGAAGCACAAAGCTGCTAGTTAACCAACGTCACCACAGACCATGAGACTTGTAGCTTCCATAAGTTAGAAAAATGCCATAGCAAAAATTTAAGTGGAGCATATGATTTTATTCAGACCACCACTTTTTGTTTTAAAAGAGTAATTGAAAATCAGGATGGTGGAGAGTTCTTACTTTTTCAGGTAAAGATAATGATACTCTAATTTCATATTCCTTATGATGATGATGATGAGGTATGCAATATATGTTGTGAAGAAATGGACTTAACTTATAGCACAGAGGGTTCCAGCAAGGTTCTTCAATATTGGATTTCATTTCCACTGGGTTTCGTTTAGGTATACTCCTGTCAGGAATGAAACAATTCAATTTAATTCAACAAACATGTAAGTATCTGTTGCATGCAGAGTACTGTGTTACAAACTGGGAAGATACAAAGTGTTGATGACGCAGCTCCTGACTTTAGAGGGCTTCTAGTTTAGGAGAAGGAGAAGGCAGGAAAGGGAGCTCAAGGTATGTTCCTGGGACAGAGAGTAGTCGAGTTGAGATGGAGTGAGTTTAAGAAGAGTGCATGGAGGGAGGTAATATGAGAGAAAGCTAAAAAGGTAAGGGAAAACTCTGATATTTTCAGCTCCCTTCTAGCTTGATGATTCTGGTGTCACAACCAAAATATGCCACATTTGCTAAAAAGGTTTAGTATCCTTGTTGCCGTGGGCACTGCAGTTTGAATCCTTTCTATCAGGTTTGGCCCAAATTAAATCTGATTATTCTAGTTTCTTTTATCATCAGTAATTCTGTCCTGATATATAGTTAACTCTCAATTGTCCATAGAACACACAGACACAGCTAATTCACATCAATTGATAATTTACAAAAAAATTTTTGGAACATAGACATGTATACACATTTTTAGGCATACACGTTTTTATCTCTTCCCTACTCACCTCTGTCTGTCTTCCTTGCTGCTTATAGAGGGGAAAAATGAAACATTTACTTTTGGATAATTGAGACAATTATAAAGCCAAAGCCCCTCTCACCATTGCCAGCTTCAAATTTGGTGTCTGTACTTTTGTCCGAATAGTTCCGAATTGCATTACTGTAAAGCCTAGCCCTTGCTTATTCAATCCACTGGGGGCAGCACGGAAACTCATTGTTGTGCAATGTTAATCAATTCCTGCTCCATCTCTGCCCCCCCAAATAAAGACAAAAACACTAAACTATTTAGCTTGCAGCAGATAGAATATGGAATACCCATTTTTGTGAGTTCAAATCTGGCCTCAGACACTTACTAGCTGTGTGATCCTGGGCATATCATTTAACCCTGTTTGCCTCAGTTCAACTGAAAAATGAGTTGGAGATGGAAATGGCAAACCACTCCACCATCTTTGCCAAGAAAACCCCTAATGGGGTCACGAAGATTCGGGCACGACTGAAATGACTAAACAACAACAACCACAACAAAAGAACTTTTGGAATCTCGGTACAGAACCAGAAAAATCAAGAAATTAAGTTAGGAACTCTTATTTCTAACTTCTGTTATGCTTGTTACAGCCAGTAAGTAGGCAAAGTGTCCTCATAGTCCTTCATTACAATGAAGCAAGACATTATGGTGAATTTTTAAAACTTTTATACACATTCCTGGGAAATAAGCTCTATGTAGCCTGTTTATGCACAACTTTTCTTTCTTTCCTGCTTAGGGAAATTTGCATGAAAATAAATTCCTTTGTTCACAGTTGGCCTGCCTGCTTTCCAGCAAAGTTATAGTTCTCAAACTCTTGATGTTTGATGGTTAAGCAGACTTGACACTGGATTTCAAATAAGAATAAAAGATTTATCAGTTCTGTGGCACCTAAGCTTGAAGTAAGTTCATCACATTGTTCAAGATTTATAAAGCCTATAGTTCTGTAAGTTTGGGTGTATATGTACTAACACCCCACATTCAGGAAACAGGTTTAGTCTTTAGTCAAAAATTATATCTGAAGAAAAGTGTGGTTTGGGTATCCTTGACATAAAAGAGGGGCAGGGGATATTAGGGAGATTTTTCATGAATACATCCACCCTCTCCCCCAACTCCTTCTCAGCCAAAGTTAGAATTTAGGTTGGTAAGAATGCACTTCACTGAACCAGAAGTAATATTTTAAAATTTTAAACTTTTATTTGTGCAAAGAGCTTGATGAAGCAGTTTCTAAGTGAATTTTATTCTTAATTAGTCAACAAGCATTTATTAAGCATGTGCCAGGCACTATGCTGGACCCTGGTGATACAAAGAGAAAAATGAAATAGTTAGTCCCTGCCTGCAAGGAGAGCTCCTTTCTAATCCTGTGCCTTTTAAGGGGGTCTCATCATATCCCTGTGTGAGATACTCTTCCCTCCTCCCTAACTCTACTTTTCAGCTTCTTTTTACATATTGTCTTCCCCCATTAGATTGTAAGTTCTTTGAAAGAATGAACTGCTTTATACTTTTCTTTGTATCCCCAGCACTTAGCACAATGCCTGGCACACAGTAGATACTTAATAAATATTTATTGGCTATTGTCTATGTCTTCTCAGAACCCTCATATATTCTTAGGTGTCATAGAGAAAAGTGAAAATCACAGAAGATTGAGGGTTACTTTTGTTGTTTTAGTGGTCTTAGGAGAAGATGAAAGTAGGAGGGACAGGTGACTATACTGGGGAGGACAGGGAATGAAATCATTATTGTATAATAGAGGTAGATAAAACAAAGACTATATAGTAATGGAGGAAGGAGTTGGGGTGGGGGAGGGGAAGGTGGGAATCCCATGAACTTCACTTTCATCTGAATCAGATAAAGGAAGAATGAACACTATACCCTTCCAAGCTCTTCCCTCCCCCAGATATTAATATAGAATTATGTTATGCTCAAAACAGAAATAAGAGGGGATAGGAACATGGGAAGAGTAGAGTGGGGTTGGAGAGAGAGGGCAGGATAGGTAAGGGAATAGTCATGAGCAAAACAAATTCCAGTGTTGGAGAGGGGAACATGAAGGAGAATTAAAAGAAAAATAAGAGAGAACAAAAATCTGGGATTAGAGCAAGGTAAAGAGAAAAGAAGAACTACAACAGAAGGGAATTAGACTGTTTCACTTACAAGATTATAAATGTCAGGCAAATTCCCTCTTTTCTACCACTTTTTTATTTATAAAGATAAAGGTGGGTTCAAAGATAAGTACAAGAGGACAGGGTGGCAAGAAATACAAATTAATCATAACTGTAAATGTGAATGGGACCAACGCACCCACAAAACAGAAGAGGATAGCAGAATGGATTAGAAAACAATCTGACAATATGTTGTTTACAAGAAATTCCTCAGACACAAAGATTCATATAGAATTAAAATGAGGGACTACAGCAAAATCTATTATGCTTCAGCTGAACTAAAAAAGCAGGCGTAACAACCATGACTTCAGATAAGTATACAGTAAATATAGATAAAGGAAATTATATCATTGCTTAAAAGTATGATAAAAAATCAATGTCAATACTTAATATATATATATATATATATATATGTGTGTATATACATATTTGTATACAATAGCAAATGCTTAAAGGAAAAATTGAATTAAAAGGAGAAATAGATAGAACAACTATAATAGTAGGGGACCTTAATATACCCTTTCCAAATCTTTACCAAGGATGAACAGAAAAGAATTTAAGAATCTGAATAGAACTTTAGAAAAATTAGAAATGATTGATCAATGGCAATTAATGAATGAGATTATAAAGGAATTTATATATTTTTTATCTATACATAACACCTGTACAAAATTGACCATGTATTTAGGGCAAAAAGGCCTCACCAAAAAAGTAGTGAAGAACATCATTTATAGATTACAATGCAATAAAATTATATTCAGTAAAGGGCCCTTACAGAAAGAATTAAAAAATAATTGGAGACTAAGTTCTAAAGATCAGTTCTAAAGAACTGGTGGGTCAAAGAATAATTTATAGAAACAATAGATATTTCATCAAAGAAAATGACAGTAATAAGACAAAATACCTTCTCTATGGGATGCAGGAAAAATAATTCTGAGGGGGAAAATCACCAACTGAAAAACTAAGTAGATGTTATAAAAACTAAGTAAAAGATTAATGAAATTGAAAGTAAAAAGACTATTGAATGGACAAATAAAACTAGTAGCTGTTTTTCTTTAAAAAAATTAACAAAATATATAACTAATTAGATCACCTGATTTTAAAAAGAGAGAGAGAGAGAGAGAAACCACATTGTTTTTCTCAAAAATGACAACTACTGAAGGAATGCAGAAGAATATCATGGAAACCCATTGAGTTGACAGCATATGGATGAAGGAGTGATCAACAGTATCAACTGATAAAAGGAGGGACAAGTAGGTTAAGAACTGGAAAAGGGCCAGTGGATTTAGCAATAAAGAGATTATTAGTGACCTGAGAGGAGCAATTTCAGCCAAATGCTGGAAGATTCAAGCCAATTTCAAGGGATTAAAAAGTTTGAGTGGGAGGTGAGAAAGTACAGAGAAGGAATGTAGAATGCCTTCTCTAGCAGTTTGATAATGAAAAGGAGAAGAAATAAAGACAATAGTTGTGAGGGGATTATAGTATCTATTGAAGGTTTTAGAAAATGGGGTAGATCTGGGCATATTTTAAGGTAGTATGCAAGGAGCCAGTGGATAGAAAATTTGCAAAGGAGAGAGGAAGAGGCAAGGGAATCAAAGGTTGAAGACAGTGAAAAGTTGAACCGGTTAAGTAAAGGAATAATATTTTGAAGGGAGAAAAGTGATGACAGAACAAAGGGAATGGCCTGGGAAAATAGGGAAGGATGGAGTAAATAGAGGTCGCATTGAGAATGGAGAATAGATGTAGGAAGGGCATAGGGAGAGTTGGAAAGGAAGGAAATGCAGCAAAATCAATTCTGAGGGGGAAATTCCCAACTAAATAATGTATAAAAATTAAAGGAGAGATTTTAAAAATTGAAAGCAAAAAGACCATTGAATGGATAAATAAAACTAGTAGCTTAGTTGTTCTTCTTTAAAAAAAAAATGAACAGATCACGTGACTTAAAAAAAAGGAGAGAAGAAAACCAAATTCTTTTCCTTAAAAAATGACAGCTACTCATGGAACTCAGAACAATATCATGGAAACCCAGGAATATGAGAGCATATCAAGAAGGAAATGGTAGTCAACAGTATCAACTGATCCGTTTCAGAGTTATGGATTGTGGAAGTAGAACACTTGTGGGTGATTAGATCAAAAGTATGTGCATCCTTTGTTTGGCTGAGATGGTGTGAAGGTGCATATCAAAGCACTTGAAAAAGTTGATAAAGTAGGAAGCAAGTGTATTGAAGGTACATTAACTTCTAGGCTGAAGTTGCCAACATACATAACACTAGGTTCCATAGCTTCTCCCGCAAAGACTGTATTGTTTGCGTTTTCTTTAAGAGGAAAGAGACTCTTGAGGGACTGCAGCTTAATTGTCATTCTGAATAGACTGAATAGACTGTGAACTATTATGGCTGAAGAGAAAATGGGTGAGGTACTGACAGAAAGGATGAAGAGGATTTGTTTCCTGAGAGAACTCTTTTTAACTTTTAACTCACAAAGAAACATTATGAAGAGAGTTCTTGAAAGACTGCTATCCTCAGAAGTGAATGGTGGGATTCTGTTCTAAAAGTGAGAAGTCAAGTGACAGAGTTGACTCTGATTGTCGTCTTTCTCACAGCTGAAACATTGTAAATGCCTGTTTTATTAGTTGTTATATTGTTAGTAAATTGTAGGGCTAGGAACTTATATTTAAGCATATGAAATTAAGAATTTTGATATAGAGAGAGGCTTGAGCAACTGTGGGAAATGTGTTTTTTCTGGAGCAGTAAATAGTTAATTTACTAAAGTAGAGGGAGAGGCTCAGAGAGGTGGCATTTTAGTTTGTTTTGTTCCTTTTTTGTCTTTCTTTCTCAAAGAGAACCTTGACATCAAGGAAGGTGATATCATGACTTGCAAGTGAATTGTATTTAAGTGTGAGAGGGCTGTGCAAAGTCACCAGCCTTACTCTCTCCTCTGGAGCAGTGTGGGTCCGGTGGCAAGATATAGATCTGGAAGACCAGAGATGGCCCAAATGTTGTGGGGGAACTTAGCCTTTTTGAACTAAATCTTTCCCAGGTCTCTGTTTGGCTGATGTAATGCCCATTCAGTGATTAAGGCTAGGTAAGAAATAAGACAAAGAACGACCTCTTACTCAGTCAAAAAAAAAATCAGTCTGGGGGGAGGAAGACCCTCAGGGTTTCTGGCCAAAATAGAAACAATTACTATTTACACTCAATTTGAACCATCAGAGTTCAAACAATGAACAAGTGAGGCTTGGGCTGGCATCTGTTGTTGGCCCAATCAATGAAAGGCAGAGTGATTTGGGTTTAAGAGTTAGTCCTTAATAAAGAAATCTAGCCGCCAAGGTTTCAGCAATCAGAATTTATATTCCTAATGATGAGGTGAGGAAGACAGGAGTGTTTGTGGCAGATGGAGCAAGCAGGATGCAGGATGTGAGATATGAGATAAGATGCAGGCTCCGACCAGCCAGAAAAGCCATCAAAGAAGACTATGCATTGAAGCCCCCTACTGTGGACTCACTTTTAGCTTACTTTGCTTTTACAAAGCACCCCCGATTCTAGAACAACTCTTCCCCTCTCCTTTCCTATTATCTTTGCTGATCTGTATGATAAAGGCATTTTGGGACTACCTGATATGCCAGGCATTTTGCAGCTGTGCTTGCTCTTCCCATTCTCTTGGCCCCTTACCCCTATTCCATAAAATTGTATTTAAACCAGACACTGAATGCTAATAATGGCCTTTGCCACCTATGGGAAGAAGGGCCTATGCTCTGTCTCTCCCACGTGGAAGCAGGCCCACTTGAGTGAGTCACCCCGATAAATGCCTTTCTTTAACTTGGAGACTGTCCGATCTATTGAGACGATAGAACCTGCACGTCTATTCCTCATTATTTCAGGTGGCACCACAACATTCTCGGGATGCATCCTGAACTTACCACTTTGGTCAGAGCATCTGTAGGTAAGGGTATGTATGATTCCTAATGTGGACAGAGGGAGAAGAGGGAGGGAGAGGAATGAGGTAGCAGAAGGAGAAAGAAAATGAGAGAAGGAGGAAGGGAAGGAGGGAAGGAAGGAAGGAAGGAAGGAAGGAGTGGCATTTTAGTAGTTGACATGGAAATACCCAAATATACCCCTGGATTACCTTAGAGCAGTGGTGTCAAACTCAAATAGAAATGGGGCCCACTAATCCAAACATGAGTCGCCGTGGTTTGCATATTGGCTTAGTTTAAAAATGTAGTATTATTTGTGTTTTGTTATATTTGTATTTATGTTGTTAAATATTTCCCAATTACATTTGAAACTGGTTTGACCACACTTGGGAGTATTGTAGACTACATATGGTCTGAGGGCCACGAATTTGATGCCCTGCCTTAGAGTTTGGGAGAATGAGCTGAAACTGCTCTCTGTAAGGTTCCCAGTAATCTCTGAATTGCCAAATTTGTGGCCTTTTCGTGTTCCTTATCCCTTTTGCCCTCTCTGTAGCATTTGACATTGTTGAACCCCTCTCTTTCTGTGATTCTTATTTCTTACTGCTTCTCCAGTCTAGTTGCTCTGCTCCTCCTCAGTCTCCTTTGCAGAATCATTATCCTTGTTCCATTCCCTGGACATGGGTATTCTTCAGGACTCTATCTTGGGCCTCTTCTCTTCTTTCTCAAGTTTCTCTTAGTGTCACTTTCATGGATTAAACTATTGCCTCTATATAGATGACTTCAAGATCTATATATCCAAGCCTACTCTCTCCCCCAAACTTTTATCCTTCATCACCAACTATCCATTGGATTTCTCCAATTGGATGTGTCACGGTCATCTTAAACTTAACATATTTGAAACAGAACCCATTCTCTTTGCCCCTAAACTATTCCTCTTCTTAGCTTCTATTTCTATTGAAGGCACCATCATCCTTCTGGTAACCCAAGTTTACAAACTCAGAGTCATTCTAAACTTTTCCTCCCTCTTTCATCCCTCACATGCACTCAGTTGCCATGCCTTATGAATTCTGCCTCCATAATATTTCTCACATCTTTCTCCTCACCTTTCATGCCATAACTACCCTAATTCAGGCCCTATCACCTATTGCCTGGATTATTGCAACAGCCTTCTAATTGGTCTCCCTGCCTGTAGCCTGGCCTCTCTTTAAACCATTTTTCACACAGTTACCAAAATGGTAATTCTCAAAGCAAAGATCTGGGCAAGTCATTCTGTGCTCAAGAAACTCAAGTGGCTTCCTCTTACCTCAAAGATAAAATACAAACGTCTCTTTGGCTTTTAAAGTCCTTTAGAAATTGGGTCCAGCCTACCTTTCCAAGCTTAATACGCATTATTCTCCTTCATCAGTTCCAGACTCTTGCTGTTGCAATCTAGGGGTGCCAAGAACCCTGAAAAGACAGGGCAAAGGGTGCTGGTCTGCCTTGGAAGAATTTGACCAGTCGTGCCTTCTTTCAACCAGAGACAAAATTTATTATGTCGCCAATAGAAGCAGGTGGGATTTTAAGAATCTGAGCAATTTAATGGGGGCAAGATGGACACTGTTATATAGAAAGACTGTGGGAAGGGCAGTTAAAAGGATTATACTAGGATGGGCCAGGTGCCTCAGGCAAATGCCAGAGATTTGGTTCAGGGGCTTTGGGGTCCAAGTCCCAAAGACATGGTCTTTTCCTTTTAGGGGTCCAGCAGGAATCCCATCCCCCTGTCATATTATCTTGCTTACTATTTCCATTACACATGCTTAGAATGCCCTTCTCACCTTCCCCTCTCAGAATTTCTAACTTCCTTCAAAGCTTAGGAAGTCTATTTTTATTTTCCTAGTTAGCTGCAAGTGCCTCCCCTATAAAATTATTCAGTATGTATTTTATATTTTAATTCTCTATGTACATAATGCATTCCTTCAGAACAAAATAAACTCCTTGAGGGCAAGAGATGTGGTTGTGGGGTTTTGTGTGTGTGTGTTTGTTTTTGTTTTGTATCCCCAAAACTTAGTACAGCTCTTGATACTTAGCAGGCACCAAATAAATGCTTATTGTATTACATTTTATTTTTCTAACTCATGAATAATTTTGGGATAGGATTAGCTAATTAGATAAACATATAGGGTGATAAATTTTTATCCCACAATCATGTACAAGGATTGCAGGATAAAACATTTGAGAGTATTGATTTCCAATCTTGATTTTGTAATACCTCAGGGTATACATGAAGTACCTTATCAAACAGCTCCCCTTTGCCCCCTAGACAGATGAAAAATAGGGCAGGCAAAATTGTGAGGTTAAGAAGTTTGTCACTGCTGGCTTTTTTCTTCCTTTTCTGCTTCCTTTTCTTCCTCAGTGTCTTCTCCTTCCTGGCTTGAAGCCCATGACTTTCCTGTTTCTAACCTCCTATCAAAACAAGAATAGATAGTATATCACCATTTATACACTGACTAAAATTCATTCATACCTATTAATTCCCCTTCCCAGACATGTGCATTTCAACCTTTTATCTTGAAATGTAGAAGGAATGTTTCTTCCTACAGGACAACAAGGAGCAGTTGAAAAAGAGTTTGAGGGGTACTTTTGTTACCTTTGAAATCAAATTAGTCAAGGCTGGCCATGAAAATAAACCTGCTTTAATTTTTTAAGGAGATTTTTGGTGATAGGGAGCAGCCAGTGTTGGGTCAGAGTAATAGTAGGGAACCTAAAAAATCTATTCTCTCTGCCTTTAATCCTAACCTTTTCTCCTTCCCTGTTCCTCCTTCCCTTCATCCTAAAGCTGCCTGTGTCCCTCTTCTTTGCCTGGTGTCACCATCTCTAACCTACATTTCTCCTCTGCTCTCCTTCATTCATTCATTAAACATATAAGTGTCTACTAGTGCAGGCACTATTCTAGGTACTGGGAATTCAAAGACACAGACAGCCAGACATACACACACATATAGAGTCCCTGACTTCAAGAAATTCACATTCTATTTGGGGAAGGGGGAAGCATCATGCAGACAGAAAATTAAATACCAAATATATACAAAGAAGAATACAACGGACTCTGGGGGGAGGTCAGGAGAGGGTACTAGCAATTAGGGAGACTCATATGGACTTCTTGTAGGTGGCATTTGAACTGAACTTTAAAAGAAGCTAGGGATTCTAAAAGGCAAGGTTAGGCAAGATATATTCCAGGCATGAGGGACAGCTTCTCCAAAGGCAGGGATGTAGGAGATAGAATGTCATTTAATAAGAACAAGTAGGCTGGTTCAGCTGGAACTTAGAGTGTATGAAAGAGAGTAATTTACTTGGAAAAGTATGCTGAAGGAAGATTGTAAAAGACTTTGAATACCAAATATAACATGACTGTTGTTGCACTCAAGTTTCATATGAGCTTTTACAAAGTGATATGTGCAACAGGGATCTAGGAACCAGTGACCTCTATGCCAATGGTATTGGCAATTCCTCTTTTATTTGATTCTCTTGGAGGATAGTGATCATGACATTGCCCTTCCAGGCAGGAAATCAACAGCCTCTAGTCCAAAATGTCTGCTACCTCCAATACTTAGGGCATCCATATAGTGGATGTAGGCAGTAATCTGGAAGTAGCTGCTCATTGATCTTTGAGGGAGGGGGCAAGGAAGACTCAAGCCTAGTCATAGAAACAAACTAGAAATAAATCATCTGGTGCAACAGTGTCACTGTACAGATGAAGAAACAAGTATGGAGAGGTAAAATAGCTGGTTCAAGGTCATGCAGCTAGTAAGTAGGAGAGTCTGGATTTAGAACAAGGTAATAATTCCAAATCCAGTGCTTTTGGCATCCCACCACACTCTTACATTCTATGAAAAAAAGCTAATTTGTCTATAGTTAGTCAACAAGTATTTGTTAAATTTTTAGTACCTGCCATACCCTGTGCTAAATACTGGAGATACAGAGAAAGGCAAAGGCATGGTCCCCATCCTCAAGGAGCTCACAATCTAATGGGGGAGAAAAGTTGCAAATGACTATGTATTAACCAGATATATGTGGGGTAAATTGTGAGGTAGTATTAGAGTGATGGCACTAGAAGTGAGGAGGACGAGGAAAGGCTTCTTGCAGAAGGTGGGACTTTAGCTGAGACTTGAAGGATGACAGAGAAGCTGTCTGATCATCTTCTGATGAAGATGAGGAGGAAGAGTCTTCCAGGCATGATGGCATCCGGCACTTGGAGTCAGTGTGGAGTCAAGAGAAGGAGTGTCATGTTCTAGGAACCACAAGGAAGTTAGTAGGAGTGGGAAGACTTAGGTGTAAGAAGACAAGAAAAGTAGGAAGGGGCCAATTTATGAAGGACTTCAAAAGAAAAACAAACCATTTTATATTTGATCCTAGAGGTAATAGGGAACCACTGGAATTGATTGATGGAGTAACAGTCAGACTGGCACTTTAGGGAAGTCAGCTCAAGGGGAAGGGTTGGGGGAGAGATAATGAGTACTGTTTTTGAACATATTGAGTCTGAGATGCTCACAGGACATTTAGTTCAAGATGTCCAAGAGACAGTTGATGCTGCACAACTGAGGCTCTGGAGGAAGGTTAGGAGCTGGATATATTCTAATTCTAATCATTGCTCTATAGTCAGCCTAAATAGTCTTCTGTTGGTTCTCCATATATGACCTTCTATTTGTATTTTACAAGCCTAGAATGTTTCCTTCATCATCCCCAACTTTTGGAAACTGTAGAATCCCTTCAGCTCAAATACCACTTCTTATAGGAAGCCTTTCCTAAATTCCTCAATTCTTAGTGCTCATCCACCCCTCTCCCAATTACTTTGTATCGTTTGTATGTATTTTATTTTTTAAATATATTTTGTTAATTGTCTAAATTTAAGAAAATGTTTTCAATTCAGGTTAAACTCAAAAGTGTTCGTGCGTTCATCTTCCACCCCAGAGCTTGGTTGCTAAACATTTACCAGCATACCCTTTTATTGTTTTATAAAACACCACTTGAACCAAACAAGGGTATAGTAGAAGGCTCAGGGAGTGAGTCATTATTCAACTGGAGGCCTGGTGACCATGAGATGATGATGATGATGATGATGATATCTTCCATTTACATAGCACTTTAAGGTTTACAAATTGCTTTACATCTATTACCTCATGTAAGCCTCCCAACATCCTTGGATATAGGTGAAAATACTTTGTAAGGAACAATCTGTTGATACAAAGGTTTGTCATGTGATGATGTTTTAAATGGAGAAACACTCTTTTGACAATGCTGATGGTAATTTTGCTAGGCAAATATAAAAGTCCAAGCTTTAGCCTATTGATTCTCTTATCACTTAAGTTAACCTTATGTAGCATGATTGTTCTTTGTTTATTGGCAACTGTGTCACTCGCTTTGCTGATGCCACTTGCCATTCCTTTTACCTTTGCAATCTCATGTTCATTTTGTCCAGGCTTTCTGTAAATCTTCACTGAGGATCCGACCCAGTGTGCTGAAGGCCTTCATCTTATGGATGACAATATACCTTTCTTTTTTTTTTTAATTGATGTCTTTTGTTTCTAGTTTCCCCCCAGTATCCTTTCTCTTCTCCTCCCAGAGAGCCATCCTATATAACAAATATAATTTTTTAAAAGGCAAAAAAAAGGGAGAGGAAGAGAAAGAGGAAGAAAAAATCAGCACAACTGATTAATGAATTGAAAAAGTATAAAAACATGTGCAACGTACAATAACTGCGGACCTCTTATCTTCACAAAGTGGTGGGTTGAGGGTGTCCTCTCTTGTCTCTTCACTCTTCACTTTGTAATTTTGTTACAAAGATTATTAACTTTTGATTTGTATGTGTGTTTATAATTGTTCTTTCCATTTACATTGTTATAGACATTGTGTATGTTGTTTTCTTGACTCTGCTTACTTCATTCTGCTCCAGTTCATGAAGATCTTTCCATGCTTCTCTGTAATTCATTTTATTCATTGTTTCTTAAAGCACAGCGATACTCCCTTATGTTCCTGTGCCACAATTTCTTTAAGCAGTCCTCAACTGAAGGGCATCTACTTTGTTTCCAATTCTTTCAAGTCACAAAATTCTTTTCAATCTAGTTCTTTTCTATCAGAAAAAGTGACACAATAAATATTTTGGTGTATATGGGAACTTTCTTTTTATCAGTGACTTCCTTGGGGTATAAGCCCAGTAATGGAATCTTTGGTACAAAGGGTATAGATATACTGTCATGCTCACTTGATATACATAATTTCAGATTGCTATCCAAAATGCTTTCCAAAACTTCACAGCTTCACCAATAGTATATTAGTGTGCCTGTCTCCAAAACCCTTCTAATTGGTTATTGGTCATCTTTGCCAATTTGCAGATGGTGAGGTGAAACCTCAGGGCTATTTTGATTTGCATTTCTCTTATTATTAGTGATTTAGAGCATTCTTTCACTTAGTTGTGAGTACTCTGCAATTCTTCTTTTGAGAATTGCTTGTTCATATCCTTTAATCACTTAACTAACAATATACCTTTAGGCTGCTGATCTTGTTTCTCCTTTTCCAGCAATATGTACCCTCAACAATGCCTTTTCTGTTGCTTCCCACAGATGTCATGGTTATAGACTGCTTATAACCACAGTGTCCACTGTTCTGTGAGTTATTTGCAATTTTCATCTTTCAGGGGTCATGATGAATCAAAATCATGCAGCATCATTAGGAAGGTTTGTGTGAAAGAAATGGACCTTTGTGGTTATGAGCAGTTTCAAATCATTAAAACCACTATGCAATTTCCCAAGTCTAATCATGTCCCATCTCCTCTTAATCAACTCTCACTTGGATATATCCTTTTGCTTCAGGTAGTGATATAAAATTCTTCTCTCCCACCTCTGCAAAAAAAAAAATCAAAACAAAACAAATTTTCATTGCTTCAATTGTAAAAATAGTTGCAGGCTCTACAGAACTTTTAGGAGCAGATATTTGTGGGTCATGAAATTGACTCTGGTAAACAAGTCTTCATAATTTCAAAAAAAGGTTGAGAATCATTATCTTGGGTTGTATAAGACACAGGAACACTTACTTGATTTTTCTAGTTAAACATGGAATTCTTAGGGCAAGTTCAGGTGCCCATTCCAGAGTTCATTTTTGGTGGGCCTGGATTTCCTCAGTGTAGAACACTCCTGATGTAGATATGACCTCTATTAGTGCACATTAACAACTACAATCTTAGAGCTGTCAGGGGTGCTTGAGAGCTCAAAGACTTGCTTGCTCTTATGTAGCTAGTATATATCAGAGAAAAGACTTGAGTTTAGGTCTTCTTCATTTATGTCCATCCACTCAGCCATAGTGCCTTCTCATGGTTCAAATAAAGTATAAAAAATTACTTTCTTGATGTGTCTTGTCGAGGCTAATCAGAAGAGAGGTTCAGTTTCTCTCTGGGTTAAAGGTGGGGGTGG